CCACAAACCTGGGTTTTAACTACATTTGATTATTAACAAATATTATCTTAACTAAGTGTACCAATTAGTAAAGGACAAGATGTAGTAGTATTTCAATTGAATTTTTACATTCGTATATATTAAAATGGAAAAATAACACCATTAATTTACATGAAATTCTATACCCTTTTTCCTTACCGTAACACAAATTGTCCAATCAAAATATTAGGTTAAAAAAGTCATTGAGTGAAGGTAATTATGTTCCATACCAATCACAAATGTGGCTTTCGTTAGATATATGTTTTTTTATCGATGAATCATAGCTTGAGATTTCAATTTAATCATTAAGATAGATAGAGGGGATATGAGGAGAAATAATCTCATGGTATTGTAGTATAGTTGATTATTACACGTGTGAAGTAGTTGTTTAAATATATATATATATATATTTTTGAACATTTTGACACGGGGCGGGTTCGAAACCCGCCCAGGGGAGGGGAAAATGCACCTAACAAGCTGGTTAATGCCAGTGGGCCTTTAGGCCCATGTGCAAATATATTTAATAATAAATAATAATTATTTTTTTATAATTCAAAGTATATAATTTATTCAATTAAAACTAACAATTAATAAATATTTATAAAAAATTAAAAAAAAAAAAACCAAAATGAAGGAAAAAAATATTAATTTCACTTGACTAATCTGACCAACTTGAGAGAGAAAAGTCTTAAATGCATGGCAATGCATGCTAACTCTAAGTAAGCACAGCCCACAAAAGGGTATTTCAACGAATTTTTTGGTCTATTCTCACCCAACCTGACTAACATTAATCTTGTTCTTATCCACCATGGATAAACCATACCTTCATAATCATGCCAATGATCATATAATTGAAAGTTTGTTCAAAGGCACTTTTTGCAAAAAACCAAAAAAAAAAAAAAAGTGAGTTAAATGGGAATAAGAACCCAAAAAAGCTAGTGTTTGCTGTGCCTAGAAGAAACCCAAAAAAAGGCCTGAAGCTCTTTGTCTGTTGCACCCAATTCCTGGTCCACTTAAGCACTAATAAATCAAAAAAGGACACCCCCAGTCACATCCACGGATGCATCAGAGCTCCATGTC